TGGATACTTCAGATGTGATAACTCACAAATGGACACAATATTCAAACTGGGATCTGACCATTGCAAAGTAAAATGGGATTAGGAAGTGCAAAATCTTTCAAATTCAGACTGGCTATTTCAGTCATCTTGGAGATGTTTAGACTTAGAAATACTTCCAGATGTTTCCTGAATTCTATCAGTTCTCCCTTCCTCTAGACATCAACTTATTTTCAGGCTTCTAACAAAGGAAAGAAAATTGGAGGTCCATTATTTCATTTGGGGAAAGGGGAGACGATGTCATCATCTACTATAACAGTATTCTGTAATGTATCTTTACTGTAAAATGCAAGAACCTCACTTTCACTCATTGCAGTGTCCAGAAAACACTGAACTGGAATTGTGTTCCTTATTTGCAGATTTCCCAATATGTGTCAATCACTTTTCCCGCTCTTCCCCTCCCCAGGAAGTAAGTATCTGGTTGCCCTATAGCTAGTCAGTTTCTGTTCTCCTGCTCTAGAGAATGCAGCTAGTTGCACAGTCATGAAATTGTCTGCCACACTTCTCTCTACAGCAGTGTTTTATAAACTTGGCAACTTTAAGATGTGTAGACTTCAACTCCCAGAATTCCCAGCCAGAATTCTGGGAATTGAAGTTCACACATCTTACAGTTGCCAAGTTTGTAAAGCACTACTCTAGAGTTATACCTGCCTTGTATGTTTGTTTACTTCACATTAACTTGGGAGATGCTCAAGTAGGGTTGGGAGGAAGGGCAGACAAACCAGGCTTGAGAAGTCCAGGCAAAGTTCTGAAGTCAGACCTTTTCCATTTATGATGCAGTTACCCAGTTCGTGGATATTTTCTCTGCTATCTGGTCATGTGCTAAGGAGAATGGCAGCAAAGCTGGAGGAGAAAACAATCACCTTGCCTGTATTGAGTGGAATACTCACAAATCAAGACAACATCACATGACAGGGATGTGCAGGTTTCCAGAGAAGCAAGGAGAGATAAGAAGGCCTTCTTAAATGAACAATGCAAAGAAATCGAGGAAAACAA